AGCCCAAAGCTGACTCCTTGGTGGTTAAGGTCACTCACCTCCTCTCTAGACTTTATGGCAACTAGGACACCAATGGTCCCTCCCACGACACTCTCCTGCAGGGATCAGTGTGTTGCAAGGACCACACTGAACTCCGACCATACTCAGTGATGAGATGTGTTGGGCGAAGCATTAGGTTTACTGGAGGGGATCAGGAAGGACTCAGGATACAGGTCTTCAATTAGGACAGCTTATTCTCCAATGACTCCTTAGCATGCCTTTCTCTAACACTTAGTCTCTTCCCCTGGCCACTCCTCTCCTGAAACAAAGGTTGCATCTCTAGCACATGTCCTAGGAGAGCCCATTCCGCCCCTGTGCTTCACACACAAGGGACTCAACTCTTGGTCCATGGATCAGTGAGCCTTGCTTTGTCAAGTGCACAGCAGCACCTTGCTTTGTAAGCAAGCTTAGCTATAGATGCTCAGCTGTCTCGACATGGTGACTCCTCCCCCCACCCCACCCTTGGAAGTTAGAGGAAACCAAATGCCAGCAGTGCCACCCCATCTGACACACAGCACAGGTTCCATACACCTTGCCCAATCCCCGAGGAGCCCTTGTGGTGTAGAAAGTTACGAGTTGGTGCTGTCAGGTTGGCAGTTGGAAACCACCTGCTGCTCTTTGTGAGAAGAGTCTAGAAACCCACAGGTGCAGCTCTATTCTATCCAATAGGGTCACTGGGAGTCCGAATCCACTTCCTGGCAGTGAGTTTCGTTTTTTTGGTCCAATCCCCTTAGGGGGCTGTGGGCACTTTACTTGCATAGTCTCATCCAATCATAGGAGAGTCACAACGACTATTGCTTTCAGGGCCAAGTTAAAGAATTCACCCCACCGTATAGGTATGACCAATAGTAAGTGGTACCAAGTTTGAGGATGACACACGGGTCATCTCACCTTTTCTCATGAACCTCTAATGACCTGCATTCCAGGTTAAAAAACAACCCCCAGCCCCTCCAGAACCACCTTGATTCCAAGTCCCAACAACTCTGTAGGGTAGCGCAGAACTGCTTCCCAGGATTTCTGAGGTGGTAAATGTTTCTGGGAGCCTACAGCCTCGCCCTTTGTGGGGCGAGGCCAGCCCCTAACAACATCATGGGTTTGTAGGCGCAACTGTATGGTTAAGATGTATAAAGATTATAGTAAAATCATGGAAGATAGGAGAGAGAGAGTGAAAGGAGTCAGACACATTTCATGGTAGAATGCTCACCTCCTGGACGGCCATGATCTCACCAGCCAGGCCTGGGCACAGCACAGGCGGAGAAGAGGGGAGAAGACAGACGGAATGGGGAAGAAGAACCAGAGGAGAGGGGATGGGGGACTGGAGGAGAGAGTGTCTTTATTGTTTTGGGGCTATTTGTAGGTAGCCATGTGACATGCATAGTCAGTAGTTACATGCATCACAAGGTGGGTGGTAATCACAGTAAAGTCCCTGAGCTCACAGGTGAGGAAACCTAATACCTGCATTGGGGGGAAGACGTGAGAGGGGATGCCCGCCCCCACCCCCCGCCCCGCAGCGGGGGGAGATAATCCCAGGAATGTCTGCTTCTATGAGGAGACAGAATCAACCATGTGCTGACTTTAAGACAGCATAGCTGTTGGAGAATCTGTGGGAATGATATTTGTTAGTTTCCCACAGCCCTAAACCTCACGCAGTTACCTGTGGTTTCGAAGAGCTCACCTGGTGGCTAAGTCCAGTCTAGTGCGTAACCACTGTGCCACGATGCCACCGTACTTCCAAATAATCCCCCAAAGATCAGCTCTTAATTGGTGTGTCTGAACATTGCTGGCTGAGAAACGGGATGGAGGAGAAGTCAGTCGCTCGCTGTCGGAGTTGACCCGGGAGCAATGCCTTGCCCGTGTGTGGAACCAGGCTTCTCTTCCTGGGCCATGCAGCTCACCGCAGGTACCGTGGAGACCTGCCGAATAGGCTCCAGTGGAGCTTCCTTACTGAGAAGGACGAGGAAGAAGGGCCTGGCACCCTTGTCTTTAACTGGCCTCACCCCAACTCCCTTGCAAACATCTGTTCGGTTTACCCCCGCAGCCCTTTTGCCCGGTGTGTGGTGGACGCTCTCGTGTACGACGTTGCCCCTAGACGTGTTTCTGTCCTTCACCCTGCTGTCTGCCAGCCCTTTCCAGCCAGAGGCTAGCTATTCGTGTTGTCTGCTTGCCAGCTGTTCCTCGCTCCCCTTTCGTCTTCCCAGAAACACGCCTGCTGTACAGACCCTTGGACTCCCAGTGGTCTGTTTTCAAGTTCTCTGTTTGTTTCTTTTATTATCTTATTTTTTAACTGTTTAAGGAAAGCTGCCAAGGTCCCTGGGTATCGAACAGGTGCATGACTTCCTCGTCTTCTCGGCCTTCCCGGCGACTGTCGTTCGGTGCCGACTCAGAACGAAGCACTGCCTGGCCCTGCGACAGCCTCACCGTCAAGTTCTATCCCCTGTGACCAGCCACCCACCTGTCAATCAGTCCCAGCCTGGCTCCGGGCGCTGTAACGCGCACGCGCCCGTCTGTACGGAAGGTGTCCGAATATGGCCGCCTCCGTTAGCAAACGCCACGGCTGGGCGCAGACATTGCCGGCTCAGGGCACACCGGAAAGGCCGCTGTCCGCGCGCATCCAAGCGTGCTTGGCCCTCCTCGCGTCCCGTAGCGGGTCCGGGCGTCTGCGCCGGGGGTGGCCGAGCCCACGTCTTTTCGCAGGAGTAACTTCCACTTTTCGGAACTGCTGGTGGTTCCGGAGAAAACCAGGCCAGTTGGTCTATTAGTTCTTTGAACAGGACGGGGGCCGCGGGGTTCCCGAGGGCTGCGCTGGGCGGAGGTGCTGGAGGGGAAGCAGGTGGGGGGAGTCGCAGCCTTTGGCATCGGACCCGCGAGAGCGCCTTTGCCAAACGACCCGGGCGGTCCCGACCCTCTGGGTGCCGTAGGGTGGTGGGACGGTGCGTTTCGGTGACGGCGGGGTCTGGACCGGGTACCGGACGTAATGCGGGGCTGAGTGAGGGTGGACCCGGGGGTGGTGTCGGTCTCGGCAGGGCATTGTGGGGACGAAGCGCAGGAAACCCAGGCCCCCTTGAACCTTGATTGTGGAGACAGGTGGCCTGTCCTCCGGGGAGTTGTGTGAAAGCCGCGGTTTAGAGCAGCGTCTGTACCATTTTCCCTGGAACCCAGAAACCGCCCCACTACTGTTGCAGGGAGGATCCACCACGCCGCCCATCGCTCAGTGGGTCTGCTTTCAGGCTGCAGAAGTAGGGGTCGGGGAGACCTGCTGGTCCGCAAAGCCTCACTTACAGACACCTTTTCTGCTGTGCAGCTTTGCCTTGAAAGGCGCCGCCCAGAAAATAGGAGTTTAAATCCTAACCTCCTCGTGCGTGGTGGTTACCATCCCATTTCGGAAGGGGTTGTGATTGTTCGGTTCATGAGGCAGGATGTTAGCAGGTGGGTCAGTTCCCCAAACTATAGAGAGATGAAGCAAGCTAGCCAGCCAGTAAGCGGAGATGGAGAAAGAGGCATTGCCAAACCTCCTGGCGATCTGGATGCAGCCTGAGGCTGAAGAACCAACAGAGAAACAAAGCCGACTTCGCCAAACTTGTGCAACAGTGGGGAGAGACCCCATGCAGTCTCCTAACTAAATGTGGGGATCTGAGAAGAATTTGGCCACTACCAAAGGATTCTGAACGTGTTTAAGGACCAAAAATAATCTCAGAATCAAACGTGTAATGAAGCCGAGGTGTGTCTGGCAGCGAAAAGGGGTCGCAAGTAGAAAAAAGTCAAGCCCAACTGTAGAAAATCTAGCCGCTTCAGCGGTGAGAACAGACTTGTGTTGTTTCGGTCACACTAGGTAAACTGAGGCAGAATCGGGTGTTGGAGAAAGGAAGGCGCTGCTTAAATACAACAGGGAAATGGTTTGGGAAGTGAGTATTGGGTGCAAGTTAAAGACATACGGTGGGCATCGTCTTGATGGCAGTGGGGTTTTAGTCGACAGGAGACAGGTGTGGCCTTCAGGAGACGGGTGGTTGGTAGAAGTATAGATGCCACTGGCAGTTATGATGAAGACCGAGAAGGAAATGGAAGTGAAGTATAGGGGGACACTATCTCTATTGTATTGGAGAATGCAGAGGGCACTAGCAGCAGAATGTTGCTAGCGATGGGGAAGCTAAGTGTGTTTCTGGTGAGGCTTTAAAAGACAGTGGTGAACCCCCAACAGACTTCTTACTTTGAGGTGGCTGGAATCGGGGATAGGGCCTGACTCATTCTGTGGTTGGGTCAGGATTTCCTGCTTCTGGTGGGAAATCTCATTTCTTAAAAAGAATATAACCAACGTTACATTAAAAGGGGATGTTCTGAGAGGGAGGGGAGGGGCCAGGAAAGAAATGCCCTTGGTCACACCTTCCTTGCTTAGGGCAAACAGCCTTGGCCTAAAGATGACACTATTACCCCCCCCACACACACACACACAAAAAAGACAGTGGTGAAATGTGACTGGACAGGGAAGGAAGGGTGATGCTTTTTATGCAGTGGCAAATAACTTCTCTGAATTATGCTCAAATGTCTGGTGGAAGATAGAACTTATAAATGATGAGCTTGGAGATCTGGCTGATGAGAGCTCTAAGTAAGATGTTGCAGGGGCTGAATCGTGCCTCCTTTCCACTTATAATAAAATGCAGTCTAAACTAGATGAACTTCAGAGGGGAGCAGGGAAGGAGAGGGGAAAATGAGGAGCTGATGCCAGGGGCTTAAGTGGAGAGCAAATGTTTTGAGAATGATAAGGGTAACAAATGTACAAATGTGTTTTATACATTTGATGTATGTATGGATTGTGATAAGAGTTGTATGAGCCCCTAATAAAATGATTATAAATAAATAAAGATGTTACTTCGAGGACTAAAAACACTAAATGAACTTCAAAGTGAACTGTACAAAATGAAGACAGCATTAAAAAGATTTCAAGAATCTCGTTAGACAAACTAAGGGCACGTATCCTAGAATGTTTACCAAAGACTTAGTTGCGCAATCTTTTGTTAAAGGGATTGTGTCTGTCACCGTTGGACCCAACCAAGTACCATGGCAAAACACACTGGTTCAGACCGAAGATGCTACAAAAATAACTAGAAGAAAGAGCAAGAATGTTGTCTGCCTGTTGGAAGTCTTTAGGCGGAAACAGACGAAAGGAGCTGCGTCTACTCTCCAAGAAGAGGAAAGGACCATCCTTGGAGCATCTTGGAGATGAGCAGAACGGTTAGAAGGTGCATGGGAATCATGGCCTCCTTGCCTACCCTCAGAGGTGTTAAAGAAGTGGATCTTGGCCACATGGTTCCAGAGTGTCGGGCTGGCATTAAGGTGTGTAGGGATATGGCTACCATGTCCACAGGTCAGAAGAATGAAACCCTCTAGGGCAGAGTGGGTGGAGTGTACACTCAGACGGCGACTGGGTCAATAAAATCCAGGGCAGTGGAGTTGAAATCCCACTGGTCCTGGAAGATGGAGCTAAAGCCCAGGGCCACAGGAAGTCCCTACAATATCCAGAGGGCATGGCTAAGACCCAGAATTGAAGTCTGGGACCATGATGAGGATGGTTCCAAAGACAGTTCATTATTGTCCAGCAAAGTGACCTCTCTCCCATTTTCGTAGTAAGTCCTTGTACAGTTTCTGAAGGTAATATTGGGAATGGCATGCAGATGAATTTAGATGTGCTTTGTAATTC